TAAGTACAGGAGTACTGTGAAAAGTGCATAATGTCGCCAAAGATGGCACCATCTTAGATATCCAAGGTACCTAGGTACAAAGTAGTTCAGAGAGAGTTAAAAACTTAAGCATTACTTCATAGAATAGTAGAAAAATAAAGTAATAGTTTACATTTCACACCCAATATCTTCTTGATGAGCGTTAGGGTTTGGCAACTTTGCTTTTGTGTTTTAATAAAACAAAGAACTGCAGATATTGGAAATCTGAAACAAAAACAGAAAGTGGACCTGAAATAAAAGTAAAGTGTGCTGATGGAGACCTGAAACAAGAACAGATGCTGCCAGACCCTCTTGCGTTTCTCCAGGACTTTGGAAAGAGAAACAGGATTAATGTCTCAAATCTAATATAAGCCTTCTTGGAAATGAATCGGAACAGTTCTGAAGAGCTGTCAGAGTTTCTCTAGCACTTTTAGAAGCAGCTACATGTTAACTGGGTCTATAACCCTAGGAAGCTGAGGCTTAGCTTCCATCCAATGATAGTAGTCATGTCCTAGGATGACCCAGGCAAGTTCTAAAGGCATGCCAGAGCTAATTAATTACTTCCAAAGTAAAGTCTGTGCTACAAAGAAATGTAGCAGCCAATTTACATGCAAAAAATTACAGAAACGTGAAACAAAATAATTGGTGTTGACTGACTGATAAATGCCAAAAGAAAAAGAATTCCCCACTTTTATTTGCATAGTGTCAGAAGACCTGTGAAATCTAACCAAGAAGGGAGATCAGATCCCTTGCCTTAATTTCACATCCAAAAACCAACATCTCTGACAAAGAAGCTAAACTAGCTAATGACTCAGAATTTTGATACAAGAGACAAGGTTTTCAAATTACATAGCCAGTAAAGGATGCAAAGTCAGGAGAGTATCCCTTAGTGAAACGTTAACAGAGTGAGCCTTGAAGTAAAGCACACTTGAAACCAGATTGAAAGCTGATGATACACCTCCTGGATCAAGTAGGAGACAAAGTGTGGTAGTCAGAACTGCTTTTTGGACTGGAGGCCTGTGACCAGTGGTGTGCCAAAAGGATTGGTGCTGAGTTCACTGCTTTTTGCCATTTATAATAAATGGTTTGGATGTGACTATAGGAGGTATGGTTAGTAACTTTGCAGATGATACCAAAATAGGTGGTGTAGTGGGCATTGAAGAAGATTATCTCAGGGTACAACGGGACCTTGATCAGACAGGCCAATGGATCGAGGAGTGGCAGATGGAGTTGAATTTAGATAAAGGTGTGATATTACATTTTGGTAAGACAAACCAGGGCAGGACTTATAATGTTAGTGGTAGGACCCTGGGGAGTGTTGACAAAGAGACCCGGGGGTGCAGGTGCATAGTTCTTTGAATATAGAGTTGCAGATAGACAGGGTGGTGAAGGTGGTGTTTGGTACACTTGCCTTCATTGGTCAGAACATGGAGTGTAGGAGTTGGGATGCCATGTTGTGGCTGTACAGGACATTGGTGAGGCCACTTTTAGAATACTGCGTACAATCTAGTCACCCTCCTATAGGAAGGATGTTGTTAAACTTGAGAGGGTAGAGAAAAGGTTTACAAGGATGTTGCCAGGTTGGTCGGTTTGAGCTATAGACAGACGCCAAGTAGGCTGGGGCTTTTTTATCTGGAGCATTGGAGGCTGAGGGATGACCTTAATAGGTTTATCAAATCGTAAGGAGCATGGATAGGGTGAATACCCAAGGTCTTTTTCCTAGGGTGGGTCAGTCCAAAACTAGAGGGCATAGTTTTAAGGTGAGAGGGGAAACATTTATAAAGGACCTGAGGGGTAACTTGTTCCACACACACAGGGCGTATATGGAATGAGCTGCCAGAGGCAGTGGTGGAGACTGGTAAAATTACAACATTTAAAAAGCATCTGGATGGGTATATCAATAGGAGGGGTTAAGAGGGATATGAGCCAAATGTTGGTAAATAGGACTAGCTCAATTTGGGAGGTCTGGTCGGCATGGATGTGTTGGACAGAATGGTGTGTTTCCCTGCTCTATGAGCTTCGTCCCAGGAAGTTGAAGGAGGTGGCTAGAAAGATAGTGGATGCTTTGGTGGTTAACTTTCATATTTCTGTTGATTCTGGAAAGGTTTCTGTGGACTGTAAAGTAATAAATATAATTCTATTATTTAAGAAGGGAGGAAGAGGGAGAATGTGAAAATCTATTACTATGAAGGATAATTGGACACTTGGAAAAGAACGAGGCAGTCAATATGGATTAATGAAGGGGAATTCATGTTTGACAAACTTGTTGGACTCTTTCAAGGATATTACTTGCAGCATAGATTGAGCAGAACAAGTGGACGGTGTGTATTTGGATTTTCAGACGGCACACAGAAGATTAGTAAATAAAATTGTGGGAACTGTATGAGAATGGATTGAGAATTGGTTGACAGCCAGAATGTACGTGTAGAACACTCTCAGGATGGAAGGCTGTTACTATTGGGGTATCACCAGCATTAGTTCAGAATCCACAACTATTAACAATCTATATAAATGATTTAAACGTGGGAGCCGATTGTAGTATTCCCAAACTGGTGATACCAAACTGGGTGGGAATGCATGTTCTAAGGAAGATGCAACAAGGCTTCAAGTGGAATTGGACAGGGTAAGTGAATGGGCTAGATCATGGGAGATAGAACATAATATGAATAGGTGTGAAGTTATTCACTTTGGTAGAAAAAAAACAGAAAAGCAGAATATTTTTTACACAGTGAAAGATTGAGAAGTGCAGGAGTCCAAATGACCTGGATATCCCTGTTCATGAGTCACTTAAAGTTACATCTCGGTGCAGCGAGCACTTAGAAAGGCAGATAGTTTTGATGGCCTTCATCACAAGGGACTGAGTTCAGGAGTAAAGATGTCTAGCTGAAAGTCTGTAAAATACCGTTGACCACAAGAAATAGGAACAGCATGAGGCCATTTGGCTGCTCAATCCTGCAATGCTAATCAATAGGATCATGTCTGATCCTACATTCCTCGTGTCCACTTTCCTGTGTTTTCCCCATAATCCTTGATTCCCCTCCAGATCAAGGATATATCTCAGCCTTAAATATACATAAGGACTGTCCCACAGCTCTCTATAGCAAGGAGATCCAAATACACTCAATCCGCAGAAGAAATTTCTCATCTCAATCTTAAACTTGTGCCCCTTTATTCTGAGACTATGCCCTCTGGTCATAGACTCTCCCATGAAGGAAAACATCTTCTCAGCATTTACCCCATCATGCACCATAAGAACCTGATATGTTCCAATGAGATCACCTCTCTTCCTTCTAAATTCAAGTAGAATCCCTGTTCAGCGTTTGTTGTTAAGACAATCCTTCCATACCAGGGATCATCTCAGACCTTCTCTGAACTGCCTCCAATGAAACAACATCTTTCTTTAAATAAGGAGACCAAAACTGCTCACAATATTCCAGATATGGTTTCACCAGCATCTTGCACAGTTTTAGTAAGACTTCCCTCCTCTTATACTCCAACTCCCTTGAAATTCCATTCGCCTTCCTGATTACCTGCTGTATTGCAGGTTAGCTGTTTTTCGTGCACAGTACCCTCAAGTCCCTTTGTTTTGCAGCTTTCTGAAGCTTTTCTCCAGTTAAATAATACTGTTCTTTGGTTCTCCCTTCCAAAATGAACAACTTCATATTTTCTGACATTATACTCTATTTGCCAACTGTTTGCCCACTTACTTAGCCAATCAATATCCCACTGCAAATGGTTTGTATCCCTCTCAACTTGTCCTTCCTCGTGTTTTTGTGTTGTCTGTAAATTTGGTTACAGTACATTCACTTCCTTCCTCCGAGTCATTGATATAGATTGTAAATAGTTGTGGTCCCAGCACTGATCCCTGTGGAACCCCACTAATCACAGGTCACCAACCTGAAAAACAGCTTCTTATCCTCACTGTTTCCTGCCCATGAGCCAATACTGTATCCGTGCCAAAACATTACTACATTACCTCCAACACCGTGGGCTCTTATGACTTAACCTTCTGGGAGGTACCTTGTCAAATGCCTTCGGAAGTCCAAATATAACACATTTACTGGTTCCTCTCTATCCAATCTATTTCAGACTTCAACGAAAAACTAATAATTTAGTCAGGCACGATTTCTCTTTCATGCAGCCATCTTGACTCTACTTGATTATATTATGATTTTCCAAACATTCTGCTATTACTTCCTTAATAATTGATTCCAATACTTTTCCAATAATAGATGCTACACTAATCAATCTACGGTTCCCCACTTTGTGCCTCCCACCCCCCACCTTTTTGAATAGGGCTGTCACATTGCCATTTCCCAATCCTCTGATACTTCTCAGAATTTCAAGGATTTTCGGAAGATTACAACCAATTCATCCACTACCTGTAGCTACTTCTTTTAGGATCCCAGGATGCAAGCCACCTGGGCTGGGGGGATATCTGTCTTTAGCTCCAAGAGTTTGTCTAATACTGTTTCTTTAATGATGGTGACGGCACTTAATTCTTCCCTTGTATTATTTAATATTGATGGAATGTTCAAAGTATCTCCCACCATAAAGACTGATGCAAAATCTGTTTAACTCCTCTGCCATTTCCTTGTTCCCCATAACCACCTACCAGGTTCATTTCTAAGGGGTCTATGTTCACTTTGACCTCTCGCTTCATTTTTATTTTTAAAAAAAGCTCTTATTGTCACAGTTTTTATTTTCCTTGCTAGTTTGCCGTTATTGTTACTTTCTCTCTCTTTATTAGGCCTCCTCTGGTGGGATTATCCTATGTAAAGAGGTTGAGGAAACTAGGTCTATATTCTCTAAAGTTTAGAAGAATGATGGGTGACTTCAACAAACAGCTTACAAAATTCTTACTGTAAGACAGAGGTGACAGAGGTAGAAGTTTCCCTTGGCTGGTGACTCTAGAACGAGGAGACAATCTCAGAATAAGGGGCAGTTCATTTTGGACTGAGACAAGAAAGTATTTTTTCCACTCAGAAGTTGGTTAATCTGTGGAATTCTCTCCTTAGAGATCTGTGGAAGTTCAATCTTTCAGCATCCTTAAGACAGAAACCAATCTATTTCTGGAGACAATGACATAGAGGGATGTGGAAAGAGTGTGGGAAAGTGGCATTGAGGTAGAGGATCACCTATAATCTAACTGAATATCTGAGCAGTCTGACAGGCTGAATGGCCAACTCCTACTTCTCTGTAATGCCAGGCTAAGTCAGTACAGCGTGGATGGGTCCGCCTAGATTTTGTGCTCAAATTGCTGGAGTAGGACTTGAACCATTCAGCCAAAAGTGCAATTCAAACTGCTTTCTGATAAAGGTACACATACAGAGAGAAGAGACACTGTTAATACTGCTTTCCTAAATAAGAAACGGCCTTGAAAAAGTGACGTCCCAACATGAAATGGGCATTGTACTTACCCATCCTCCTGAATGTTGAACCCAGCTCAGCAGTTTTGAATTGATGAAGTTTACCATGGCATTCTTAACAGTAGGAAGCAGACTAGGTGATTCCTTAACTATCCCGAGTCCCAGGGTGACAGCAATTTTCAGGAGGGTCATCTCAAAACCCAGCTGTTGTCGATATGTCTGCATTTCAGAATTATTACTTAGCTCGCTCACCATGCTAGAAAACATTTCGATACTCTGGAGGGAACATTAGAAATGGAAAAAATAAAGGTTATCAAGTAAATAGGTCTTCACATTGTTAAATCCATCCAGGATACAAAGAGATAATTTCTTGATTATCTTCATCTAGCTATCCTAGCCATAAAAATATACAATTTAGGAGGAGCGGCCACTCGGCCCTGAAGCCTTTTCCATCAGTCAACAAGATCATGTCCTCGGATTACTCCACATGGCCACCGACCTGATGACCTTTCACTTGCTTGCTTATCAAGAACCTATTTCTGCCTTAAAAATATTTAAAGACTCTTCTTACACCAACTTTTGAGCAAGATAACTCCAAATAATTTCAACTCTGAGAAAAAACTTCTCATCTGACTGAAATAGATCACCCTGTATTTTTAAACAGTGATCCATGGTGTTAGATAAGACATAAGACAACCCACCCTATCCAGCTATTAGTCTCGTAAACCTTTTCTAAACTGCCTCCAAAGCGATTACATTCTTCCTTAAGGAAGGTCAGCTCAGTTGGCTGGACAGCTGATTTGTGACGCAGCGATATCAACAGTGAGATTCAATTCCTGCACCAGCTGAGATCACCACAAAGAATTCTCCTTCTCAACCTCTGTCCTTGCCGGAGGCATGGTGATCCTCAGGTTAAAACCACCACCAGTCATCTCTCTCTCAACTGAGAAACAGCCGACGGTCCTCTAAGACTATGGTGATTTTCCCTCTTTAGTTCTCCAGATGTGGTCTCACCAACGCCCTATGAAACTGAAGCATAACCTCCCTCTTTTGTATTCAATTCCCCCTGCAATAAACACACATTCTATTAGCTTTCCTGATTACTTGCTGTACCTGCATGCTAACCTCTTATAATCCATGCACTAGGACGCCCAGATCCCTCTGCATCTCCAAGCACTGCAACCTCTCAACATTTAGATAATGTGCTTCTTTTTAACTCTTCGTGCCAAAATAGACAATTTGACATCTTTTCACATTATACTGCATTTGCTAATTTTTGCCCAATCACTTGACCTATGTCCCTTTGTGTCCCCATGTTCTCCTCACAACTTTGCTGTCTGTTTCTGTGACATCAGCAAATTTAGCAGGTACACCATCAATCCTGGGGTAGGCTTGTGGCACAACAGTCTTTGGCCTGACTTCAGATCAGAATGTTCAAATCATGTCAGGCTCATGGGGTTTCCATGCAGTTCATGTTTCTGGATTTTGACGGCTCCTTTTAACCCATGGTAGTGTAAGTTCACCTAACTCTAAACCAAAAGGCTTGGATTCAAGTCCCACCTGCTCCAGAGGTGTGTCATCACCATCTGAACAGGTTGTTTAAAAATATCTATCATTAGTCCCTTCATCCAAGTCATTTATATGAGTGGCACAAAAGGTGGATCCCTGTGGAACATCACTCATTCCATCTCAGCATTCAAAAATTGGCCCATTTATGCCTACTTTGTTTCCTGCAAGATAGCCAATCTTCTATTTATGTTCATATGTCTCTACAACAATTTTACTTTTTTTCAATAACGATGTGACCTTATCAAATGTCATCTGGAAATTCAAGTACAAAACATCCACTGGTTTCCCCTTTATCTACATCTTCAAAAAACTCCAATAAGTTGGTTAAACTTGATTTCCCTTTCACAAAACCTTGCTCAATTTGCCCGATTACCTTGAATTACCTAAGTGTCCTGCTATAATAGCTTCTAATGTTCTACCTATGGCAGATGTCATAGTATCTGACCTTTAGCTTCCTGCTTTCCATCACTCTCCCTTTAAAACTAAAAGAGTTACATTCATCATTTTTCAGTCTAATGGAACTTGTCTCAAATCTAGGTGCTTTGGAAAATGAAATCCAAAGTACCAACTATCTCACTAGTCACTTCTTTCAAGACCTGAGGAAGTAGTCCTGAAAGGTAAACTTAATGTCACTTAATCTCACTCTCCTGTTTCGTTTGATGCTTTCTTCCATGCAATTATGACTTGCACTTTCACATCAAAATGAAGTATAAACCTCACCCAAAGCAGCAGAGAGGGTTTGCACCATCCTGGCTACCTTTGAGTTGACTGGTGACCAGTGTGGGAGAAGAGTTCCCTAACAGCAATGAAACTTTCTAACAATGAAGGAACTGAATGCTCCAAAGTCCCTTTTTCAACGTTAAAACAAACTGTGCCTTCTTCCTCATGTCTTCTGTGTAACAATACAACAGACTGCTCACTTCTCTCACCCACCCAGCCTAATAAAAGCGATATGGTTAAACTTTATTGCATCTGATGGTTGGCAGAGTCAGGTCTGTAATTTTTAAGTTCTGAAATCTCTGGAGCACGAAGCAAACAACAATAATTTACTATAAATAGTATCAAATACACAACGTAAATATCTTTAAAAATTCATTTTTAAGTATTGGTTATTTCACATGTATTTACAGAGGCTCGGAAGAGTGTTTTAGGCTGCAGGATAGGGAGATGTAGAGCATTAACAACTCGGGAATAGTGGAAGCAGATTGAACTGGACAGAGCAGGATAGGGAGCGCCAGCTCAAGCTTGAGTAGGGAAAGGAGATAATCAAGAGATGAGAGAAGATTAAGGAGCAAACCAGCATGAAACTTGAAGATGGTCCAAATAGGTCAAATTGCCTGTTTCTGTGCCAAAATAACTGACACTAAGGAAAGGGTGTATCTGTGAGGCTGAGAATTTGGATGAATAATGAGAGAGAGCGAGTGCGCGTGTGAATGTGCATGTGAGTGCGTGCACACACGTGATTGACTGACAGGGACAGTGTGATGGGTACAGTGTATATGAAGGTGGGGAGTTGGATGGGGTACAGCGTGCGAGAGAGAGTGGGGAGTTGGATGGGGTACAGCGAGAGAGCGCGGGTGGGGAGTTGGATGAGAAACTGTGCGAGACAGGGTGGGGAGTTGGATGGGGTACAGTGTGTAAGGGGGAGGGGGGAGTGGGAGGGGGTGTGGTGAGAGAGAGAGAGGGTGGGGAGTTGGATGGAGAACGGGGATTGTGAGGAAGTGTGGGGAAGAGTTGGTGGGTATTGTGAGAAAATTCTAAATATATTAACTTGTAAAATTGGCAATCAACTGTCAAATTCTAAATAACTTTAATCATGATGTACTGTTTTAAATTGAAAAACAAGCATTCTTTAACGACTTGTCCCCGGAGTCCCTCTAGAATTGCAGCTCCAATTCTCTGTTAATCTAAAGGAGAATTAGTGGCAATCATTCTGTTGCTTTCTCCTTAACTGAATGATGTGGTATTAACTATTCCCATAGTTACTGCAACTTTACAATTTGCTAACTCTCAACAGCAGGTTTATAATTGGTTGCAGCCTGAGCTCTCAGTACTAATAAAAAAATGTGACTGGACCTGATCAGGTGGACTCTAGAACTCTGTGGGAAGCAATTGCTGGGCCCCTTGATGAGATATCTGTATCATTGACAGCTACAGGTGAAGTGCTGGAAGACTGGAGGTTGGCTAACGTGGTGCCACTATTTAAGAAAGGTGGTAAGGAAAAGCCAGGGAACTACAGACTGGTGAGCCTGACTTCAATGATGGGCAAGTTGTTGGAGGAAATTCTGAGGGACAGGATTTACATGTATTTGTAAAGGCAAGGACTGATTAGGGATAGTCAACACGGCCTTGAGCATGGGAAACAGTGTCTCACTAACTTGATTGAGTTTTTTGAAGTAGTAACAAAGAGGATTGATGAGGGCAGAGCAGTGGACCTATATGGATTTCAGTAAGGCGTTCAACAATGTCCCTCATGGTAGACTGGTTAGCAAAGTTTTAGATCATACAGAATACAGGAATAACTAGCCATTTGGATACAGAACTGGCTCAAAGGTAGAAGACAGAGGATGGTGGTGGATGGTTGCTTTTCAGACTGGAGGCCTGTGACCAGTGGTGGCCACAGGGATCGGTGCTGGGTCCACTGCTCTTTGTCATTTATATAAATGATTTGAATGTGAACACAGGGAGGTATGGTTAGGAGGTTTTCCAGACGATGCCAAAAGTGTAGACACCAAAGGTGTAGTGGACAGCAAAGGTTACGTCATAGTACAACCAGACCATGATCAGATGGGCCAATGGACCAAGCAGATGGAGTTTAATTCAGATAAATGTGAGGTGCTGCATTTTGGAAAGGCAAATCAGGGCAGGACTTATACATTTAATGGTATGGTCCTGTTGAGTATTGCTGAACAAAGAAACCTTGGATTGCAGGTTCATAGTTCCTTGAAAGTGGATTCGCAGATAGACAGAATAGTGAAGGCGACTGGTATGCTTGCCTTTTTTTTTTTTTGGAAGAGTGCATTGACTACAGGAGTTGGGAGGTCATGTTGCAGCTGTACAGGACAGTGGTGAGGCCACTTTTGGAATATTATGTGCACTTCTGGTCTCCCTCCTATAGGAAGGATATTGTGAAACTAGAAAGGGTTCAGAAAAGAGTTACAAGGATGTTGCCAGGATGGAGTGTTTGAGCTATAGAGAGGTGCTGAATAGGCTGGGGCTACTTTCCCTGGAGATTCTGAGGCTGAGGGGTCACCTTAGAGGTTTATAAAATCATGAGGGGCAAGGACAGAGTGAATAGCCGAGGTCTTTTTCCCAGGGTGGGAGAGTCCAAAACTAGAGGGCATACGTTTAGGGTGAGATGGGAAAGATTTAAAAGGGACCAAAAAGGCAACTTTTTCACATAGAGTGGTGCGTTTATGGAATGAGCTGCCAGAGAAAGTGGTGGAGGCTGGTACGATTACAACATTTAAAAGGCATTTGGATGGGTATATTAATAGGAAGGGTTTAGAGGGATATGGGCCAAATGCTGGCAAATGGGACTAGGTTAATTTAGGATATTTGGTTGGCATGGACGAGTTGAACCGAAGGGTCTATTTCCATGCTGTACAGCGTTATGACTCTGACTGATTCAAAGCAATAGGAAGTGGAATTTAAGACCTTGTTACTGCTGATAAGGTGGTAATTAGACAATCCAGCAGCTGGCTACCAAGATAGCACCTCTGCTGGGACCTGAGTGTAATAATGGCTGCTTGTATCAGTGTGCAAAACATAGCAACACTTGCTGCATCTTCCAAGGTTCCACATCCATTTCAAAAGAGATTTTACATACCTGTTTTTTTGCCAAATGATTTAACTCTGGCTTAAGTTTCTTGATATGTGATTCTATCATCGCATTGTACTCATCCCCAAGCTTCCGTAGACACTGAGCTACGTTGCGAGCTACTTCATCCTCTGGAATACAAAATACATTATATATGAAGCCAAAATATTATCCTCCTCATTTCTATAATTTATCAGTGAAAAGAAACAAAAAAAAGCATGACAGTCTGAAGGAGACGTCAAGCCAAACAGGAACAAGGAAATCTCTAGTGGATTATACGCACCACAGCAGTCTTGGTTGATGATTCAATTCTCGTCTTTGAGGAAGCACTGAGTGTGGCAAGCGCTTCAAAGTCCACCACTGAGAGTGACTCAGCAGCAGCATTACTGATTGAGCTGGCCAAATCCTAAAGCACAAAGCCGCTGGACTGGGTCTGCGGCAGGTGGTAAGGGGAACTACAAGAACAAAAAGCCTACATATTTTCACCCACCTACCTGCATCAGTCCATGACACTATTGGTGGAAGCGAACATCGAATTGCTTTGTTGTGGAGATAGAGTCCCATCTTCACAATACCACTGTGCTAAATGGAAAAGACTTTGAACTGATTCAGTACCTCATCTGGGCTTCAAGAAGAATAATATTCAACCACAATCTATAACCTCATTGTCTGTAATGTGGCCCAGTCTACCATTACCATCAAACCATTGGAACAACCGTGGTTCAAGGAAGAGTTCAGGAAGGCATACCTAAAAATGAGGAACCAACCTGGTAACAACCTACATCATAGGACTCCTTGCATGCCAAACACTGGATGCAACATTCAACAGACAACCACGTGATCACACAACCAATGGAGCAGATTTAAGATCTGCAGTCCTGTCACATTCAGTAATGAATGATGGTAAATAATTTAACAACTCACTGGAGAAAGCTCCAAAAATCTCCCATCAGCATTTCCAGCCTGATGTACTAAGTGGGTGATCCATCTCAACTTCTTCTCAAGTAAGCAACAGATTCTACTTCAGTCCCTTCCTTTCCAAGATGTGGTGATGGCCTTGTGATATAACTGCTAGACTATTAATCCAGAGACCCATGTAATGCTCTGGGGACCTGCCATGCAGATGGTAGAATTTAAAAACCTGGAATTAAGGAACAGTCCATTAATGACCATGAAACCATTGTCTGAATAACCCATCTGATTCACTAACATTCTTTAGGGAAGGTAACTTTCTTTCTTACCCTATCTGGCCTATATGCTACTCCAGACCCACATCAATGTGGTTGACTCTCAACTGTCCTCTGGCAATTAAGGACGGGCAATAAACGCTGGCCCAGCTAGTGACACCCAGATCCCATGAATGCATTAAAACAAACTTTTTATAAAATGATCAGTTTCATCCAGGGCAAAGGCCCTGACATCAAGCTATAGCCCTGAAAAAGCTGCATCCCTATCCCAGCTAGTCCAACACAGATACAAAATTGGCATCGATTTGACAATGTGAAAAAAATCATTCGGGACAAATCCAAGCCACCTAATTACCTCTCCATCCGGATACTTTATCATCAGTAAAGTGATCAACAGTGTTGTCAAGTGTACTTGCAAAGGAATAACCTGCTCACTGATGCTCAGTTTGGATTCAGCCAAGACCATTTAGCTTCTGACCCCATTTTGTTCAAACATTTTACCCAGAGGCGAGGGTGAGAATGTCTGTCCTAGACATTGATGCCATACTCAATCAAATGTGGCCTCAATGTTCTGTAGCAAAACTGGGATAAATGGGAATCAGAGAGAAAACTCTCTGCTGGTTGGAGTCATACCTGGCAAACAGGAAGATGGTTGCAGTTGTTGGAGATCAGTCATCTCAGTTCCAGGATATCTCTGCAGGAGTTCCTTAGGGAGTATCCTAGACTCCACCATCTTCAGCTTCTTCAATGACCTTCCCTCCATCATAAGGTCAGAAGTGGGGATCTCACTGAAGGCAGTGTTCAGCACCATTTACAATTCCTCAGGTACTGCCCTGTCCAAATGCAACAAGACCTGGACAATATCCAGGCTTGGGTTGACAAGTGACAAGTAACATTCACACCACACAAGTGCCAGTCAATGACCATCTCCAACTAGAGAATTTAACTATCATTCCTTGACATTCAATGGCATTACCATCACTGAATCCCTTGCTATCAAAATCCTGCGGTTTACCTTTGACCATAAATTGAACTACTCATAGGTACTGTGGCAACAAGAACAGGTCAGAGGCTAGGAATACTGTTGCGAGTAACTCACCTCTTGACTCCCCAAAGCCTGTCCACCATCTGCAAGGCACAAATCAGGAGCCTGATGGAATACTCCTCACTCGTCTGGACAAGTGCAGCTCTAACAACACGCAAAAACGCTCAGTAATATGCGGGACAAAGCAGCCTGTTTCATTAGCATCGCATCTTAAATATTCACTCCTATTACTACTGATGCACCATGGCAGCAGCATGTACCATCTACAAGATACATGGTACCATTCAAAGGTCTCTTGACAGTTCCTTTCAAACCCAGAAGCTAGAAGTATAATGGCAGCAAACGCAAACACCACCATCCACAAGTTAGAACACAGAACAGTACAGCACAGAAACAGGCAACAATCCTTATCACTTCCTCAAAAAAAATCAAGTTTGTCAGACAAGATCTCCCCACACAAAGCCGTGTTGACTATCCCTAATAAGTCCATGCTTCTCCAACTTCAAGTAAATCAAACAGTCCAATGCAACAAGATTTGGACAATATCCATGCTTGGGCTGACAAGTGGCAAGTAACATTCATGCCACACAACTGCCAGGCTATGACCATCACCAAGAAGAGCAATCTCACCAGTACCCCTTGACTTTTAATGGTGTTACCATCACTGAATCCCCCACTGTCAACTTTCTGGAGGTTATCATGGACTAGAAACTCAACTGGACTCACCACATAAACACACTGGCTACAAGAGCAGGTCAGAGGCTAGGAATACTGCGGCAAGCAACACACCTCCTGACTCCCCAAAGTCAGTCCACAATCTACAAGGCACAAGTCAGCAGTGTGATGGAATACTCCCCACTTGCCCGGATGAGTGCAGCCCCAACAATACTCAAAAAGTTTGGCACCACCCAAAACCCAGCAGCCAGCATGATTGGCACTACACCCACAACCATCTAACTCCCTCCATCACTCGAAGATCAGTAGCAGCAGTGTGTACTATCTGCAAGATGTACCAAAGATCCTCAGAAAGCACCTTCCAAATCCACGACCACTTCAATGTAGAAGGCCAAGGGCAGCAAATACCTGGGAGCACCACCAACTTCATGTTCCCCTCCAAGCCACTGACTATCCTGACTTGGAAATATATCGCCACTCCTTCCCCCTTTACTGGGAGAGTTTCACACACTCCAGAAGTACTTACTGTAGCAATCTGGAGTCCAACGTACGAGGGACTGGGGAGGTAAAATGGGAAGGATTCACATGTAAGAGCTGAGCAGTACCCCAGAGATGTGACTGAGATGGTCATGTATTGGGTCAAAAATCCTGAAACTCCCTGGGAGTCAACCCACAGCGGGCAGCATTTCAAGAAGGCAGCTCACCACCACCTTCTCAAGTGGCAACTAAGGACAGGCAATAAATGCTGGCCCAGCCAGCGACGCCCACATCCCACAACTGAATAAATTTTTTAAAAATCTGAACGAAGCTCATCCTACACTGAAATGGAATCCACATGGGTGTCAGCGTCACTAAGAAACAAGGAATAGGAGCTCTTTAAAGTTCCGGGTGCTTAGGGATGGAGAGATTAAGTACATAGTCCTGTTTTCTATATCCTTCATGCACTCTCAATCGCCAAAAAAAAAAAAGCATAAAACAGAGTTGCCATTATTGACTGAGCTCTGGAGAAAAATCCACAGTAACAAGCTATACTCCATCAAATCACATAAAAGTATAAATAATGGCTGTTAGAGGCAAGCAAACCAAACCTGGTAATAAAATAGAAGCATAAGAAGGGTCTCCGGACTTAAAACATTAACTCGGGTTCAGTAGCCAGACCCGAATTTCTTCAGCAATTTTTTATTTTGTTTCTGATTTCCAACATCCACAGTTCTTTTGGTTTTTAATACTCTGAGACCTGTCTTCGAGCCATTCTCCATTTTCTTTCTTTCTGATGCAATTTTTTGCCAGGTTTCTTTTGCTTTTTACAGCCCAGCTGGCTACAGGGCCTGTATTTTTTTTTAAGAATCATTGCTTTGACAACAATGTGACCGGTGTTTCGTAAAAGGGCTTAAGGACAATTAATACAACCTTTTAACAATATCAAAGAGCTGCTCCAAGCACAGCATGGGTGGAGTTAGCTAGATTCTCAGTTATGAAAAGATTTGAACAGAGAAACACATCGAGAATAGTTTTTATAAATAACAGCAAGGTTTGAGTCTGTATATCTCAAGTTACATGTAAGAGTACTTAATATGAATATACAATAAACAGAGCTCTAAACAAGACCAACTCTGAAGACAGTTTTTGACCTTTCCTTCTCCTCAGCCAATCTGTCTTAAACCCAAACTCATGATTGTAAGCATAAAACTGCATGATGTGAGAACTAGTGAACTTGACAGACAATTGAAAGTCCAGTTAAGACATTTATAACAAAGTTTCAATCATAGTGGAATGCTGTTATAAGAAGTCAGCAAGTTGTACCCAATGCTGCCAAACCAAAAGGCACATGAAGGACACCAAGAGGGAGATTTTATTTGTCATCTTTTTACACTAAAAATGCTGGGGCCATCTTCATACAGGTGGCTGATTAAAAAAAGAGGAAGAAACAAGTTGGAATCGCACAAGGTCAACTGATATTCCAATTTGATTATTGGTTCTAGTGAACACAAGAGACAGAATTTGCAGCATCTGAATCTTCCTTTTACACTGTGTGCATAAACATAAAATAATACAGCACAGGAATAGGCCTTTCAGCCCACCATGTGCATGTAAACCTAAACATCATTCTAAACTAATCCCATTTGCCTGCACATGGTCCACATTGCTCTATTCTCTGCCTGCTCATGGGTCTGTCCAAATGCCTTCTACAACCTCCCCTGGCAGCACATTCCAGGCTGAGGGATGACCTGATGAAAGTATGTAAAATCATGAGAGGCATACATGGGGTAGATAGTCACAATCTTTTTCCTAGGGCGGAAATGTCAAAGGTTTAAGTGAGAGAGGAGACGTTTTAAGAAGTTTTTGTTTTACACACAGAAGGTGGTAAGTGAGTGAGGCACGTCACTCTCCCTTGAAGAGGCAGCAAACAGATTTGGCAGTATAGTGGCTGAAACTTTGCTGTTTGGTTTGTCCGAACCCACAACTTTCTTCCACTCAGATTGGAGATTTGGAGACTTAGTCGGGTAGGGAAAGGGAAGGGGGGAGGGGTAGAATTAGGAGATGTGACAAGGTTCAGAGTGCTCACAGAGAAACAGGTAGTCATTCAGAGGAACAGTGGCAGATTTGGAGATACTCTGTGTGTGTGGGTGGAGGGGGGTCAGTGATTTGGAAACGTCCCCCAGGGGCTAGTACTTGGGGGAAGATGTGGTGAGGGCTCCTTAGGCCTGGATGGGATTTGGAGACCGTACCTTGGCTGCCGCCGCTATCGACATCCAGGGAATCTTCTTCCTCCTCTTCTTCAAACAATTTGTCCACGATAAGCTCCGTCTTCAGTGTCAAGTCACCCATGTCTCCCGCCCGGGGCTTTCGCCCGCCTCCTCACACAAGCCCCTATCATGGCGCCGCCTCCTTGCTGGGGCACGCGGAACACCCGCGCGCACTCCCCGCCCCCACGCTCTGTCCCCGCACCCCGCGCACAGGCTCCGCCCCCCCCTCCTCCGCGCGCTGGACCCCCCTCCCTCCATTGCAGACTCATCACGTGGAGGTGCAGTGTTGGAGTGGGGGCTTGGACAAGGACAAAAGTCATTTGCGACGGGTTATAGTCCAACACGTTTATTTGAAAAAAGAGAGATAACAAGGTGTAGAGCTGGATGAACACAGCAGGCCAAGCAGCATCAGAGGAGCAGGAAGGCTGACGTTTCGGGCCTAGACCCTTCATCAGAAAATCCTTATTTGAAAACACGAGCTTTCGGATCTCCAGCCCTTCCTCGGTGACACTGAAGCTTGTGTTTTCAAATAAATGTGTTGGACTATAACCCAGTGTCGCGTGATTTATGACCTTCCCAGACCTAGGCCGCGCCCTTCACACGGACACCGCCCCTTACACTAGCTCCACCCTCTCGTGCTCAGGCCCCGCCCCTTACACGGACCGCGCTCATCACACAGGCCGCGCCCCTTCCCATATTGACACGTCCCCACAGACAAGCCCCGCCCCTCGCACCGTACGGCCCCACCCACACAGAGGCCCCACCCCTCACGTTGACCCCGCCCCCGTTTTACCTGCGGATGTGGGTTACCTGTCCCTGAGCTGCGGCTCCATTAACATGCTGGAATACTCAGGTCACCTGGGTGGTATGATATATATGTATTGTTCTCGACAGTAATAGAAGGTGAACAATGGAAAAAGTCCGTTTTCTACGTACCTAAAACCTAAATAATTCCACCCTTGCTAATGGAATGGAAGCATTTGCCTTCCCGTACAGATGAAAATCTATGGTTGTGGTTAAGGGGTGGGGAGATTTTAAAACTGGTAAAATCCACATTTAGGCCATTGGGCTGTAGGCTCCCGAGGTGGTATATGAGGTGCTGTTCCTCCAGTTTGCGGGTGGCGTCATTGTGACACTGGAGGAGGCCCAGGATGGACATGTCACCCAGGGAGTGGGAGTGGTAGTTAAAATCGTTCGCAACTGGAAGGTGTTCTACAAGGCGGTCCCCAAGCCTCCACTTGATCTCACCAATGTAGAGGAGGCCACATCGGGAGCAGCGGATCCAGTAGACAACGTTGACGGATGTGCAGGTGAACCCATGTCTAATGTGGAAGGTTTTTTTGGGTCCTTGGATGGATGTGAGGGGCGAGGTGTAGGGGCAGATGTAACACTTCCTGTGGTTGCAGGCAAAAGTGCTGGGGATGGTGGGGAGTGTGGAGTGGATGAGGGAGTCACAGAAAACGCGAAAGGCAGGTAGGGGTGGGGAGGGAAATATATCTTTGGCTGTGGGGTCGGATTGTAGGTGGCGGAAGTGGTGGAGAATGATATGTTGGATACGGACGTTAATGGGGTGATATGTGAGGACAAGGGGGATTCTGTCTTTATTTTTGTTGGGGGGAGTGGATGTGAGGGCAGAGATGTGGGAAATGCAAGAAATGCAGTTGAGGGCATTTTCGATCACTGGAGAGGAGAAGTTGCGGTCCTTGAAATAGGAGGACATCTGGGATGTGTGGGAGTGGAATGCCCCATCTTGAGAACAGATGCAGTGGAGGTGGAGGCATTTGAGGTGGAGGATCGCATCCTTGCAAGAAGGTGGATGAGAGGAGGTGTAGTCTAGGTAGCTGTGGGAGTCGGTGGGCTTGAAATAGATGTCGGTCCCTTGAATTAGAGGCGGTCACCAGAGGTGGAGTCAGAGAAGTCCAGGAAGGAGAGGGAGGTATCGGAGATGGTCCAGGTGAATTTGAGGTTGGGGTGAAAGGTGTTAGTAAAGTTGATGAACTGTTCAAGCTCCTTGTGGGAGCATGAGGCAGCGCCGATACATTAGTGTATAACTCTGTGCAATCTGAATACAACTTGGCCGGTAAGCTGTTACTTTCAGGAGTTTTATTCTTTTCTAAGGACAGGATGACCTTGGTCAGCTCATCCAGAGGTAATGTCTGGTCCAGCCTTTCCCATGTGCTGTTGTGTAAGAACTCCAACAAACAAACCAAAGGCATTTCTTATTTGTAAAAGACAATATTTACATACGTTTGAGGTGCTGGGACGGTTAAATAACCGGAAGGACAAATAGACTGGAAGGAAACTATCCATCAGGATACACGAACATCAGCTAACAGCAAAACGACACAACGAACTTTCCCTCATCTCAGTGCACTCGGACAACAAAGGCCATCAATTTACCTGGGACAATGTGACCATCCCAGCCCACGCCAACCATGGACACGCACGGGATTTCCTAGAGGCCTGGTTCTCCACCCATAATGCAATCAGTAAACATGTGGAATTAGACCCCATATACAAACCCATGCAAAAAAGAACCGGAAATGACACAAAACACCTCAACAGACTGGATGATATAAATACTAAGTGGACTAGAACAACATTGCTTCATCGGAAGCCGCACTGATGATGTTACCTAGTATGGTGATGAAACGTCTGAATTATAACCAGCCAGCTCAGTGGGCAAATCAACAACCTCACCCACAACCCAAGCTTTGCCAGATCCTTAGGCCCCCATTTAACTTTGGCTGAAAGACCTTTGAAGGTGTTTTTTTCCCCACTATGCCTTGGCAGCAGCGTCCCCAAACTTTAGTTCATCCATCAGTACAGGAATACCAGTCTGCAACACTCATTCGGGGTCAGCTCCTTGTTCTGGAAGATTAACAAGTTTCAGGCAGACCAAAGAGTGTCTTTTACTGATTTGATGGTCCTCCAGGTGTAGTCACTGTTTGTCTCAGTGTGCATCATGGGGAACAGCCCGTAAAGCACAGAGAGCTGCATCACAGACCTGATTGAGAAAAACTTCTACAAAAACTACAGCATCTTTCTCCAGGATTCCTTTGCAAAGGCACATTCCAGCAGGAGGTGTGTGACAGCCTTTACCCCCACTCCCAGCAGCCTCTTCGAGGGCAGCGTGCAGTGGCACAGAGTTTGGGTGTACATGTAGGATCTCATGGGTAATGCCCTTCTCACCACCAGCCAAGTGATGTCTTGGTGCTTGTTGGAAAGTTCTGGTGATGAGACATTTTGCCGAATGACTTTGACAGTTTGCTCAGGGAACAACCCGACAGGATCCACCTTCTCCTTTTCCTGCAGGCTCCCAAGGATTCTATGTGCTGACCGCTTCCTGATGGACTTGTGGTCAAAAGTATTTTTCATTGCAAATTTCTCCACGAAGGACAGGTGATAGGGAATGGCCCAACTACTTGGAGTATTCAAGGCCAGTCCCATCCTTCGCAACACCAGGGACAGGTGGTACCTCACTACATAGTGACACTTAGTGTTTGCGTACCGAAGGTCTATGCACAGCTTGATGCAGCCACACACAAAGTAGGCCTTCGGGATGACAGTGACGTTGGGTACGTTCTTCCCCCGTTATCCAGAGGCTTGTACATGGTGTCCCTATGTACACAGTCCATGTTAGACCTCCAGATGAAGTGGAAGACGGCTCGGGTGACTGCAATTGCACAGATTCCGGGAATGTGCCAGACCTACGCCACATATAACAACAGGGAGAGTACCTCACACCTGATCACCAGGTTTTCACCCACAATGGAAAGGGAGCAGTGCTCCCAAAAACCCAGTTTCTGCCTCACCTTGGCGATGCACTCCTCACAAGTTTTTGCACATGCCCTGGCCCCTCCGAACCATATTCCCAGCACCTTCAGGTAATCTGTCTTGACAGTGAAAGGGTTAAAGAACATGGCTTTGCTCTTCCCTCGATTTACCTTGGCTCCTGAGGCCAGTTCGAACTGGTTGCAGATGCTGATGAGTCTGTGCACTGACAGCGGGTTTGAGCAGAAAACGGTGACATCATCCATGTACAGGGAGGCTCTGACTGCAGTCCTCCGCTGCCTGGAATAGACACCCACCTCGGGCTCACATCCTTCCTGATGGAATCAGCAAAAGGGTCTGTACTACACACAAACAAGGCAGGAGAGAGTGGGCAGCCCTGCCTGACTCCGGATCTGATCGTGAAGTTTTCTGATTCCCACCCATTGATTGAGACTGTGCTAACGATGTTGGTGTAGAGCAGTCAGATCCAATTGCAGATTCCCTTCCCAAAGCCCATTATGGAGAGCATGTCCCACCTGTAGGTGCGATACCCTGTCAAAGGCCTTCTCCTGCTCCAGGCTGATGAAGCAGGCATCCACCCCATCCCACACGTAGGCAATCATATCCCTGAGGAGCGTGAGGCTCTCAGAGACTGTCCTGCCCAGTACAACACAAGTTTGGTTGGGATGGATCACTGATCCCAGAGCAGACCTGACCCTGTTCACGATGACCTTTGACAGGATGTTTTAATCTGCACTCAGCAGTGAAATTGGTCACCAATTTCTAATTTCCTCCCCCTCCCCCTTGCGCTGTAGATGAGGGTGAAGATACCTTTCCTCATGGATTCGCACAAGGTACCTGCCAGAAGCATACTGTGGTACACCTGCAGCAGGTCCTGACGAAGCAAGTCCCACAGAGCTGAATACAACTCGGCACATACAGTCCCTCTTCCGTACCTACACCGGCCCTAAACCCCACCTCTTCCTCCGTTACATTGATGACTGTATCGGCGCCGCCTCGTGCTCCCACGAGGAGCTCGAACAGTTCATCCACTTCACTAACACCTTCCACCCCAACCTTAAGTTTACCTGGACCATCTCTAACACCTCTGTCCCCTTCCTGGACTTCTCTGTCTCCATATTGGGCAACCACCTAGAAACCGATATTCATTTCAAGCCCACCGACTCCCACAGCTACCTAGAATACTCCTCCTCCCACCCACCTTCCTGCAAAAATGCTATCCCCTATTCCCAATTCCTTCGCCTCTGCCGCATCTGCTCCCAGGATGAGGCATTCCACTCTTGTACATCTCAGTTGTCCTCGTTTTTCAAGGACCGTAACTTCCCCCCCTCGGTGGTCGAGAACGCCCTCAACCGTGTCTCCCACATCTCCCGCACCTCATCCCTCACACCCCGTCCACGCAATAAGAACCAAAAAAGAATCCCCCTCGTCCTCACGTACCACCCCACCAACCTCCGGATCCAACGCATCATCCTCCGACACTTCCGCCATCTGCAATCCGACCCCACCACCAAAGACATCTTTCCCTCCCCACCTTTATCTGCTTTCCGGAGGGACAACTCTCTCCGTGACTCCCTTGTCCGCTCCACACTCCCCTCCAGCTCCACCACACCCGGCACTTTTCCCTGCAACCGCAGGAAGTGCTACACCTGCCCCCATACCTCCTCCCTCACCCCCATCCCAGGCCCCAAGAAGACTTTCCACATCAAGCAGATGTTCACCTGCACATCTGCCAATGTGGTATACTGCATCCGCTGTACCCGGTGTGGCTTCCTCTACATCGGGGAAACCAAGCGGAGGCTCGGGGACCGCTTTGCAGAACACCTACGCTCGGTTCGCAACAAACAACTGCACCTCCCAGTCGCGAACCATTTCAACTCCCCCTCCCATTCCTCAGACGACATGTCCATCCTGGGCCTCCTGCAGTGCCACAACGATGCCACCCGAAGGTTGCAGGAACAGCAACTCATATTCCGCTTGGGAACCCTGCAGCCCAATGGTATCAATGTGGATTTCACAAGTTTCAAAATCTCCCCTCCCCCCACCGCATCCCAAAACCAGTCCAGCTCGTCCCTGCCTCCCTAACCTGTTCTTCCTCCCACCTATCCCCTCCTCCCACCTCAAGCCGCACCTCCATCTCCTACCGACCAACCTCATCCCGCCCCCTTGACCTGTCCGTCCTCCCTGGACTGACCTATCCCCTTCCTAACTCCCTACCTACACTCACCTTTCCTGGCCCCATCCCCGCCTCTTCGACCTGTTTGTTTCCTCTCCACCTATCCTCTCCTCTATCCCTCTTCTATCCGCCTCCCACTCTCTCCCTATTTATTTCAAAACCCCCTTCCCCTCCCCCTTTTCTGATGAAGGGTCTAGGCCCGAAACATCAGCCTCTCTGCTCCTATGATGCTGCTTGGCCTGCTGTGTTCATCCAGCCCTGCACCTTGTTGTCTCGGATTCTCCAGCATCTGCAGTTCCTACTATCTCAGAGAAAAGGCTGTGTCCTGTTTCCCCACTTGTGTCATGACTAACTGGTTCAATTAGCTCAGGGAATAAATTTCCAGAGCTTTTCTGAGCATTAACAGGATTTGCGTGAGGATATTGCAGGGAACTACACCATCTAGTTGACAGTTAGGGCTTTCCGTGTTGAAATGAAATTGTTTTATTGTCTTATTGAAGCCACGTCCCTGAGGCAATGTTTCTGTGAAAGGTCAAGACCAATGATGTGACAGTTTGGGCACATTTGAGGATGTGCTCACTGGAAGACCCTGCTCACAGATTCATGGAACAAGAAACAAGGATGACAAAGGAAGAGATGGTCAGAAAATGTCAAAAGTGACTTGTCATAGAAAGGGTTGCAACGACCAGCTTAGTGCAGAATTGAGAATAGTGGGGCGAGTACATTCACCCTTGTCTTACTGCTGAACTGACAGGCAGGAATTCAGATGTAGCTGTGTGATAGGGCAATTCGAGGTCAGCTCATCACAACCATCACTCGAATTGGGACAGGCTCCATAGGTGGGCGAATGGCAAAATTCTGAATAATACAAGCTTGCAGTCCTGGTGCCCTTCAGTTTACTGAGCTATGGAGAACGAGGGAGGACGGAAGAGGGTGTCGTGGTATTTTTAAAAAAAAACACTGCTGAATTTCAGCAGGGGAGTTGCAGACAAAGTGAGCATTTACCATCTTGAGATCCAAGGCAGCTGATAACCATCCTGGAGCTTTCCAGGGGTTGGGAAATGCTCAACATACTTGATAACAAGAGGAAAGGGGTCAGAATCCTGCAGCTCTTTCTGCATTTATCACTTACCCATCCTCCAACAGCAGATATCCAACTTCCCAGTCTGGTACTCATGAAGCTTTGCATGCTTGCCTTTATCTCTTCAAGCAGATCCGGCATTTCCTTTGAAGCTTGCTTTCCCAATGACCCCGCCACCTTCAGCAGATTTTTCTCAATAGCAAGCTCATGGAACTGCTCCTTGCTGATTTGATCCACCGTATCGAAAAATAGCTGGCATGTCTTAACAGCAAGAGAGAGTGACTTAAGCAATAGCCCCAGTAATCCTATCCTCCATTGTCAGCTCCATTCATCCCTTGCATTGCCAGTTCCAATCTTAGCCAGCTCGGCTAACCAGAGTATGAGAAAAAAGGACTTAACCGAAAACATGCCCACTTCCCATCCTGAACTTGCTGCCCCCTCCGTGGAAAGACCTACCTGGAGGGTGACCCAGCTCATCCCCAACAGATATTGAGGGTTACCTGCCTAGCAACCAGGTGTGATTGAGCCGGTAGAGCTGGTAATGAACAGCTAATGGAGAACCCACAGTTGGCTCCTCCCAACCATGAGTCTAACCTTGTTGAATGTTTTTAAGGCAAAGTTAGATTTTTGAGCAGTAAAGGAATTAAGGGTTATGGTGAGTGGCGGTAGGTGGAGCTGACTGTGTGAAAAGATCAGCCAAGATCTTGTTGAGTGGTGGAGCAGGCTCTTCAAGCCAGACGGCCTACTCCTGCTCCTATTTCTTATGTTTTTATGAGAAGTGACTGAGATTCTGCCTCAGAAAACTCTGGAACTGGCGGAGATCAGGGCAGATAAGTCCCTGCCCTTGTGTGGTGGATTTTCCAAAATCCCTCTTGAGTCCAGGACACCAAGAGTGGTGGGATTTCTGGGCCTCCTCTCACTTACAAACTGTGTGTCTCTGTGTTAAACTGATACGATCATGTGAATTGTGTCTGGAAGGGGAACCAGCAAATTGGCCAAAACTGAACATATTCTAACAGTAAAGGGATCATTCTCATTTTCCTGTAACAATCCAAGCCAGTTTCCTGAATCTTTATCTCAGAATTGATTTCATGAATTATCAATAACATTTGTTTAAATTTGTTAAAATTTGCATCAGTGACTCATGAACAATAGAGTTATAGAGTCATACAGCACGGAAACTGACCCTTCGGCCCAAGTTGTCCATGTGGAACAGATTTCCTAAACTGAACTAATCCCATTTGCCAACATTTGCTCCATATCCTTCTAAACCCTTCGTATTCATATACCCATCCACCAAACTTTTAAATGTTGTAATTGTACCCACCTCCACCACTTCCTCTGGCAGCTCATTCCATACATGCACCACCCTCTGTGTGAAAAAGTTGCCTCCTAGGTCCCTTTTAAATCTTTCCACTTTCACCTTAAATCTAGACCCTCTAGTTTTGGACTCCCCTACCTTGGGAAAAAGGCTATCTATGGCTATTCACCCTATCCATGTCTCTCATGATTTTATAAACCTCTGTAAGGTCACCTCTCAGCCTCCTACACTCCAGTGAAAAAAGTCTCAGCGTATGCAGCCTCTACTTATGACTGAATCCCTCCAGTCTGGGCAACATCTTTGTAAATCTATTTTGCATCCTTTCCAATTTAATAACATCCTTCCTATAGCAGGGCGACCAGACTTGTATGCAGTATACCAAATTTGGCCTCACCAATGTCTTGTATAGTTGTAACATGACGTCCCAACTTCTGTTCACAAAGCTCGGACCAATGAAGGCAAGCGTGTCAAATACTTTTTTCACCACCTCGTCTACCTGTGATGCCACTTTCAAGGGACTACATAACTGAGCCCCTAGATCTGTCTGTTTGACAACTCCTCAGGGCCCTACCATTAATTGTGTAAGTCCTGCACTGGTTTGTCTGACCAAAATGCGACACCCAGCATTTATCTGCATTAATCCCCATCTGCCATTCCTCAGCCCACTGATCCAGTTGATCAAGATCCCATTGTACTCTTAGATAACCCTCTTCACTGACAACTACACCACCAATTTTGATGTCATCTGCAAACTTACTAATCATGTCTCTTCTATTCTCATCCAAATCATTTATATCAATGACAAACAACAGTGGACCCAGCACTGATCCTTGCGGTACACCACTGGTCATTGCCTCCAGCCTGAACGACAACCCTCTGCTACTACCCTCTGTCTCCTACTGTGAGGCCAATTTTGTATCCAATTGGCTAGCTCTCCCCGGATCCCATGTGATCTAACCTTGCTAACCAATCTACCATGTGGAAACTTGTTGAAGGGCTTGGTAAAGTCCAGATAGATAACTCTGCCTTCATCTATCTTATTGGTCGCCCCTTCAAAAGACTGGGTCAAGTTTGTGAGGAATGGCCTCCCATGCACAAAACCATGCTGACTATCCTTAATCAGTTCTGCCTTTCCAAATGCATGTAGAACTGCTATTAGAACCACAAGTGTTAAAAAAAATGACGAAGGGCAATTTGGAAACACTCCCAGAATTGCGGAATTGTTAAGGTGGTGAAGGAGGCCATTTGGCCCATTGTGCCTGCACTGACTCTTCACTAAGTAATCATTACACAGTGCTGGTCTGTTGCTTTGTCCCTCATACCCTTACGCACTATATTAACTTTGGAGATTGTAGTTAATGTCAGTGTTAGAAATGCTGAATGGTGGGCACCATGGGGGTTGGAGTGCCATATTTACCCCTCCAACTTCATTTGAATGTAGTCCCCTCCATCTCTTCCTACTTTCCCTTAACCTTTGTTGTTGCACTGCACCTGTTGGTCAGTGCTAATAAATCTTTTCTTTAATTAGAACGGCTGATTAATGGTGGAAAGAAACACTCAGGTGCGTAAAAGCATCTAAATTTTTTAATGGATGATTAGGTGCTGTTTTGCAAAACAAAAATATGGGTTCCACCCCTGGTGGACAGTGCTTATAATTTGAGTAATTGGCATTTAGTTTAATTAAGATTTAAAACAAGAGTTGCATTGGAAATGGGTCTAGAAGGGAAAAGTGGAAATTGTTGTGTGTGCTAAACTATAGAAATGAAACCCTTGTAAATCTCCAAAAGGGTTTTACTGCCTAACTTTTGGAATACTATGTTCAATTCTGGTCTCCCAGCTACAGGATAGATGTTGTGAAACTTGAAAGAGTTCAGAAAAGATTCACAAGGATGTTGCCAAGCTTGGAGGGTTTGACCTTTGAGAGAGGCTGAATAGACTGGGGCTATTTTCCCTGGAGTGTTGGAGGCTGAGGGGTGACCTTATAGAGGTTTTTTAAATCATGAGGGGCGTAGATAGGGTGAATAGCCAAGGTCTTTTCTCTGAGGTGGGGGAGTCCAAAACTCCCGGGCATAGGTTTAAGATAGGAGGGGAGAGATCTAAAAGGGACCTAAGAGGCAACTTCTTCACACAGAGGGTGGTGCGTGTATGGAATGAGCTGCCAGAGGAGGTGGTGGAGGCTGGTACAATTACAGCATTTAAAAGGCATCAGGATGGGTAGATAAATAGGAAGAGTTTAGAGGGATATGGGCCAATGGTAGCAAATGGGACTAGATTAATTTAAGATATCTGATCAGCATGGATGAGTTGGACTGAAGGGTCTGTTTCCATGCTGTACAGCTCTATGACTATATATGGATGTCAATGTGATAAACAATGTAGTGGTTAGATTACTGGATTGGTAATTAGTATCAGAGTTCAGATTGCACCATAGCATTAAAAAGAAATCAATCCATTCACAAGTGTACTTTAGTGGAAGAAGAAACATAATGACCTTAATTAGCTGGTCACCCCCCTTTCCATCTTGGATGCAGTTATGATGGTTCATAAAGTCCAGCAACACCCATAGCCCAAGAATGAAACAATAAGCTTTAGAAAAACAGAAGTCAGACCTGTTTGGTAGCATGAAAGCAATGTTTTATAATTATGTTAAGGACCATTTTGCAATGTTGTTAAACCACTAATGGTTTCATAACATCCATACATTCAAAAACTCTTTATAGCCAATGAATATTCTTGGCGTGACGACTATTGGAATGTAGGAAACACAACAGTCAATTTGCACAGTGAAAGGTCATGGAAACTAACATTTTCATTTCTACTTACTGATAACATCAAGAGATTTGTGGCGTGGCATGAGGATATGGCTTTTGGGGTAGGTGATCAGCCATAATCCAGATTGATGGATCAGGCTGGAGGGTTTGAATCGTCTCCACTTTCTCCTGCCATTAAGAAAGGCGGTACTAGTTATATTTATTGAGTAGTATGGACCAGGAAGAACTCTTGCTGTTCTTCATACAGAGCCCACTGTGAATAGAGACCGCCTTCTTACTTTAATGGCTCACTTCTGGGGCAGCCCCTTTGACTGTGTGGTACTGCACTGAAGTGTTAGCTTGATCATGACCAAAGTCCATGAGTGGGACTTGAACTCTCTGCCTTTTAGCTCTGAGGTAAGAATACCACCACTCTGCCAAAACTGACACTTACTAACAAGAGAACTGACCTGTACCTGAGGTCTAACTCAACAGTGCTAGCTTATACCCCGGTCACCCCATGCAGCATAGTCGGAGAGCTCCCCTTGCAGAGGAGCTGTGAACTTGGCTGATGAACTGCTCCTCCACAATTCTGTTACCTTTTCAGCTGCTTGCTGGGCTGCCAGTCTCTGGAAGTCTCTTGTGAAGGAATCCAAATGCTCCCTGTTGATCAGATCTCCCAGCTCACGTAGATGATGGCCTAAGCTGCTGATTGCTTCAGCATCTGGAAAATAAAAGAGTCGCTACATGTTAGAAACTGATTTCTACAATAATTTGGAGAAATAAGCTGAATGTTAACCGTGGAAGCTTGGCCAAAAGCAACGCGACTTCAAGAGGTTTCCAACAACTTTCTGCTTGATGACCAATCTTACTTTACCTCCTGGCTAGACCTGGTATCCTACTCTGTGACTCTGCCCAGTATTTTATCTGTTAGTTATTTCCAGTCCCTGAAATATTTAAATTAGCTTTAACACCAATGATTGGATTTTGCTACTATTCCTTTTTCTTATCCCTCGATTATGTTTAATATCTTTCTTGTCTCTGATTATACCAATGAAGATACACAGTTCTTTCTGCTGCTATAATTACCTTTACAGCCTCGGTCCTAGCCAGGCTCAGCTACAGTCTATCCTAATCACAATGTCCCTATCTGTGCCAGTATGGATATCAAAGGCTCTTGCCCACAAGAATTCCTCAGCACAATATTCACTAGCCTACTCTTTCCATTACAAGTCCCTGGAGACCAATAAAGTAAAAGACCCAAACTTCTTTAATGACACCTTTGGAAGATACCAAAAGGACAGATGTCATTGTTACATTAAAAGATTTATTTTTAAAAAATCAAACAAAAATGAAATATCAACTGGTAAACAAGTTGCCTACAGTGGATACTATAGATGAAACTTTAAATCTGCAATAAGTCTCAAGATTAGGTTCCCCCGGCATGCATGGCTCCAAATATAATACCCACCCTTCTGGCTGTGTCTCCCTTTGATAGAGTTTATTGTGCAGAATTTTCATAGAATCATGTCATTCGCCCCATCAAGTCCACACCAGCCCTCCAAACAGTCACCATAATCTGCCCACACAATGACACTCTGATACACAGTGTAGTCAACCCTGCTAAAGACCACCCAGCTCCTTAGCATTGCTAGACCTAGCAGCCTCTATCCTGTCCTGATCACAGGCAGAAGAATGTGATTTTGCAGCCTTGCTTATTCTGGAATCCATTCCACAAAAGGCAGTGGATGAAAAATCTTTAATTTTTTTTAAGAGAGGGATAGACAGACGCTTGATTCCCAGGGGATTCAAAGATTATCAGAGATGTACAGGAACATAGAGTTGAGATTAAAATCAGCTCAGCCACGATCTTATTGAATGGTGGAGCAGTCTTGAAGGGCAAAGTGGCCTACTCTGGGTTCCTCACTTACATGGTCCCTTGTGACCCATCAGAAGGCACTTTCTGATAAATCTGATTTCAGATCCAGGAAATCCAACTAACTGCAGAAGCCTGGAGATATTGGGTTTCTATGTCAGTTAGAAACCATCTCATAAAACACAGTCTTTAAAACCATAGATTATTTATATAGCTTGCAAAAGAGGGATTTCATTACACTCCCAGGGTCAGTTTGCACATTGTTCAGGAAATAATCCCAGGATTAATAACCATAGCAATGTGATTATATAAGATAAGGAGAGCTAGGAACAGGAGAAGGTTTGCTCCACCATTTAATACAATCTTGGGGAACCTTCCTGTCCACTCCCTACAGCCTATTGATTCCCTAACAGACCAACAATTTGTTACCCAAGTCTAATCAATATCATCAACAGAACCTCCAGAACCTTCTGAGGTAGAGAATTTCAAAGGTACACTAACCCCTTGAGTGAAGACATTTCTCCTCACCTCAGTCTTAAACGACTGGCCCTTTATACAGAAACTATGCACATGTTATATGCTCCCCATGAAGAATAAATAACATTTCAGTGGCTTTCCTGTGAAGTTCCTTCAAAATCCAGAACATTACAATGAGATCGCCCCTCATCTTTCCAAATGCCAGAAAATATAGATCCATTTTGTACCCCCTTTCATCACAGGAGCTAATCTAAATGTCAAAATTTCAGTCTAACGTCTCCAAAGCATTTAAATCCTTTCTTCAACATGGAGAACACAATTGCAGTGTAATCAAGGTGTGGTCTCACAAAGCCCCATTGTTCATGGACTTTAATCCTTTTCAAGTAAAGGCCAAAATATAATTTGATTTCCTAACCGCGTGCTGCTTTATATAAAAACAGGAAGTGCAGGAAAAATTCAACAGGTCTGGTAGCATCTGTGCGGAGAGAGAAAAACAAATTAATGTTTTGAGTACAATACGGTTCTTTGGAACCCCCTCTGAGGAGCAACATTTATGGCTCCGTGAATTATATTCTATCTGCTACCATGTTGCCTTCTCAGTTAACCTGCTTATATACTTTGCAACCTCTTTGTCTCCTTCTCACACCTTGCTTTACATTATCAGCCTATTTTAGATACATTACTCACTGTCTCTTTGTCCAAGTCATGAATATAGATTGTAAACAGCCTTCACACTGAACCTTGCAGCACCTCACTAGCCATGGCCTTGAAAAGTCCCATTTATCTCTCTAATTTCTGCCCATTAACCAATCCTGTGTCTGTGCTAAGGAATCATCCCCAACTCTATGGGCCCTTATCTTGTGTTTTAACCTTTTCAGTTGCATCTTATCAAATGATTTTTAAATCTAACCATACTGCATCTACTTGGTCCCCTTTATCTACACTCCTGTTTACATCCTTCAAGAACTGTAGCAAGTTTGTCAAACTGCATTTCTTTTTCACATAACCATGGTGGTTTTTCCAATCAAAACTGAGCTCTTCTAAATAACTATGTTATTGATAGATTCTGACATTCTCTCAATGACTGAGCTCAGGCTAATTTGCTTACAGTTCCTGTTTATTTCTTTACCTCCAATCCTGAACAGTGATGTTACATTTGCTAATTTATAATAAGGTACTATTCTGGAATCCAGGAAATTTTGGAAAATCAGTCACTTTTCAAACCTTGGGTGTAGGCCTTAACCTCTTGAGAATTTGTTGGATTTTAGTCTCTTGAGTTTCTCCAGTGAATTGTCTCTGCTGATATGGATTACTTTGATTTTCTCAGTCTTATTAACCCCCATGTTACTCTTATTTTCTGGTATGTAATTTATGTCTTCTGCTGTGAAAGCAGACAGTAAATAATTTTTCAACACTTCTTCCACTTCCTCATTCCCATGATTCCTCTTATTTGTGCTTCTATGAGATCACCATTTACTTTAGCTAAAATAAAACAAAGAACTTTGGATGCTGGACATTTGAAACGAAAACAGAAAGCAGAGTTAATGTTTTGAGTCAGGTGACAGATCTGCTTTCTTCCCACGGATGCAGTCAGACCTGCGGAGTTTCATCAGCAATTTCTGTTTTTGTTTCATTTACTTCAGCTATTCTTTTCCTCTTTATATGTTTGTAAGACATCTCACAAATGGGTTTAATATTCCTGGCTAGTTAATTCTCATTTTGCCTTCCTTTTTAATCAAAGTTTTGTTAGTTTCTGAAATCCTCCCAATTCATCATACTTTCTGCTTTGCAGCATTATCAACCACTTTTCTTGTCTAAATACTTATGAGTAAGGTAATGATGGATTTTTTCTTTGAGGTTTAGTTTTTTAATATAACATATTTTTGTTGATCATTTTGAATTGTTTCATTAAGTGTCTATTGTTTCTTTTTGGCATAGCTTTTAGCTAATCGCCCTTAGCCAACTCTCCCCTCATACAGGGATAGTAAGAACTGCCAATGCTGGAGTCTTCAGAAAACGGGTGCTGACCCGAAATGTCAGCTTTCCTGCTCCTCTGATGCTGCATGGCCTCCAGCTCCACATGGTGTTATCTCTTTCCTCATACCTTGTTTTGTTTACGTTTAAGATGCATATTGGAAGACATCATCTCCAAACTTAATGTGGAATTCAGTCGTATTAAGATCACTGTTTCCCAGTAATGTTTTACTATGACACTACTTATTAACCTTGATTCAATGAGTATATTTAAGACAGATATTGATAGATATTTAGATGTTAAAAACAACAAACGATGTGGGGAGTATTGCAGGAACATGTCACTGATTATAAAAGAGTAGCCATGATTGGTTTGAATGGTGGAGCTATCTCAGGTAGTTAAATACACTACTCCTGTGCCCGTTTCCGATGTTTCTGATGCACAATGCTAGACCTACGCACAACATATTGCTCCGGAAATAATTAACCATTCCCTGTAAAGGCCTGGCAAACATCTGATTGTTCCGCATAAAGCCAAAGAAACATAAGCAGAGGGATGATTGGCATTGACCCATGCACTAAACACAGCAAAGTCCACCTTCCCTTTCACTAACATCTGATATCATTGGCCAACTTTAGGAACACCAGCTCACAGACTAGGAAATGGACAGCTCAACTTATTCTCACTGAATCAACCCTCATAATGTCCCACACTAGTCGCTTCCATTCCCTGGCTATGTCCTGTCCCACCAGGAGACTGATGCACTAGAAGTGGAGGCACTGTGTTATCCAATTGTAAGGGAGCTGCTGTGCGAGTCCTCAATATTGACTCAGGGCCCAATGAAGTCTCACGGCGTCAGGCCAAATGTGGGGCTAGGAAACCTCCTGCTGATTGCCATCTTACCACATACCCCCATGCCAGCTAACAAACCAGTTCTCCTCCATGTTGAACAACACTTGGAGGAAGCACTGAGGGTGGCAAGAATGCAGAATACTTTCCGAATGGGGGACTTCAATGTTCAGCACAAATGTGGCACAGAGCAGTACTATTGACTGAGATGCCAAGTTCTAAGACCTGTTAGACTGGGTCTGCAGCAGTTGGTGAGGAACCAACAAGGGAGAAAAACATACTTGACTTCATCCTTAGCAATCTGCCTGTCACAACTACGTTTATCCATGACAGTATTCATAGGAGTAACCACTATACATACAGTCTCGGTTGAGTTGAAGTCTTGTCTTAACATTAAAGGTACCCGCTACTGTGTTGCATGCCACTACCATTGTGCTAAATGGGATACAATCAGAGCAAATTAGCGCCTCAACACTGGGAGCCCATGAGTCACTGCAGATCAGCACCAGCAGTTGAATGGCCTTCAACAAGAGTGACCTGTTATATCTCCCATACTGCCATTAACATCAAGTCAGGTGACCAACCTGGTTCAATGAGAAGTGCAGGAGAGCATGCCAGGTATACCCAGTCAATCTACAAGAATAAATACTTAACAGTAAGTGATAGGTACAGCTAAGTAACCCCACAACCAATGGATGAAATCTAAGCTGTGACCTCCTCCTACACCCCATTGAGAATAGCTGAAAACAGTGAGGCAAGGAATACAGCATCTTTTTGGTTGGATGAAATAGGATGAAGGTTTAGGATTAGGGCTGGTGGTATGGTTAAGGCGGAGGAGGCACCAAAAACATCCCAATCCTCAATGACAGGGCAGTCTAGAAAGTCACCATAACCATCTTTAGCTTCAAGTACCAAGTAGATAATCCATTTGAGAATGGTTTGAGGAAGGGTCACTCAACCTGGAACATTAACTCTGATTTCTCTCCACAGATGCTGCCAGACCTACTGAGCTTATTCAGGAACTTCTGTTTTGTTTCTGAGTTACAGCATCCGCAGTTCTTTTAGTTTTTATGTAATCTATGACCCAATCAGACAAGCTGTAAATGTATGTGTGTGGGGAGATTGACTTTGATCTCACTTGCTTCCCCACTTGTAAAGCTTCCCAATCATCTGGGGCATGCGCAGAAATGGGCAGCTTTTAAAAATGGTCCAGAAGCTTCTAAGCTTCCAGGAAGAGAAGGGAGTGAGTGGTGAGGAATGCAGCTGTGGTGATTCCCTGCACCCTCCACGGTGCCCCTACAGTCTCATGTATATGGCTGTCTGAACTTGGTCTTGATCACAACACAATCCAAATTGCACTTTACCTTCTACAGGTTCCTCACTGGGTGCAAGACACCGAAAGCCTGTTGCAAAATCATTTGAACTTTCTTCATCCAGCAGAATATTCACCAGATACTCAGTCTGTTGCTGAAACAGTTCTGATGCTTCCATTAGAGCCAAGGAACTGTTGAGTGAAGTTGTTTTCAATGTTGTTTCCTCTTTACAATTTAAATACTGCCCTTTGTGCCTATGTTGCTCTTTGCTTATAAGGCTCTGCATCTTTCACTTTCATTGTGAATAGGCAAGTACGCAACTTCTGTTGGTCAAACAAGTTGATTGAAAGATTGCTGTTATAGATTTGTATGTTTCACCTTCGTTTTCCCTGAAGTCTACAATCGGTTCCCATCAGGCAGATTATTTATATTCTACTTCCTGTTATCAACGGCCTTTTAAAAAACGAATGATGACACTCCTAGTGGCGAATTCAAACAATCCTATATCAAGGTTTCACGTTTTAAGGTTTTTACTATAACAAAGAAAATACAATCAACATCGGCTAAACATTACTTAGTAGGAAATTAATGTGCTGAGCTATAGAAAATAGTACTTTTTTGAAAACAGGAAGGAAGCTCTCCCCGGTGACCTTGCCAGTCCTTATCACTCAGTCAACATTACTTACAAGCTATCTGATAATTGTCATCTTGCTTTTTGGAGAAATTTGCTTACACAAATTAAATGCTGCATTTTACGCATTGTATTAGTGACCACACATTCAAAAGTGCTCTGAATCCTTTTGACTGCATAAAAAGCATCAGATAGATCAAAATAAAAACCAAAAGAACTGCGGATGCTGTAAATCAGAAATTACTAGAAAGGCTCAGCAGGTTTAGCAGCATCTGTGAAGAGAAATCAAAGTTAACTGACATGTTCTGAGGATGGGTCACCAGATCCAAAACGTTAACTCTGATTTCTCTTCACAGATGCTGCCAGACCTGCTGAGCTTTTCCAGCAACTTCTGTTTTTGTTATATTAGTCAAAGACTTTCCTTTCCTCATTAAGTGCACTACAAGGGCTTAACCAAGATAATCTCACGTTAATATAACCCAGTGCTAAGTCAGTGGAGTTATTCTCTGTATATAGAAGTCATAGAATGCCTACAGTGCGGAAACAGGCCCTTTGGCCCAACAAGTCCACAACGACCCTCAGAGCATCCCACCCAGACCCATCCCCCTATAACCCACCTAATCTACACATCCCTGAGCACTATGGGCAATTTAGCATGGCCAATCCACCTAACCTGCACATCTTTGGACTGTGGGAGGAAACCGGAGCACCCGGAGGAAACCCACGCAGACACGGGGAGAATATACAAACTCCACACAGACAATTAGTTGCCCTGCGGTGGAATCAAACCCGGGTTCCTGGTGATGTGAGGCAGCAGTGCTAACCACTGAGTGACCGTGCTACCCTACCTCTAGCATACAGTCCACATTGAGAAGTGAGTGTCCCGCATAATAAAATATATTGCCAGACATTGTTTTGGGAATGTAATGCTTATTAATGCATGTTAATGCAAAAATAATGTCAAAGGTACACACGTCACACATTCATGCAGACATGCATTCATCTGTAAAAGCAAAACAAATCAGTTCCATTTGAAGTTTCACCGTTAAACCTGTCAGTACAGTACCACACCTAACATTGTTTCTACCAACCATTTAGTCCTGTCTTTATCCTCCTTTACTGTTGTGTTCAATCCCTGCATAGGCTGAGGTTACCATAAAGGACTGTCCTTCTCAATCCTTCTCCTCCCCTGAGGCATGATGACACTTAGGTTAAATCTAATGAGAGAGCAGCCCTGTGGTCTGGTTAGGACAATGGCAATTTTATTCCTCTATACATTGTACATTGAGTTCACTGTGTTTAATCAACACAAATGCAAATACTACTAATGTTAGTCATGCAGGTGATAGCAAATGCAAAACAGCAAAGGAATGAAAGAATGATTACTTAATCTGGGAAAAGAACAAGCAATCAGATTAAGACAGATATCTCACATGAAGAAAATTGAGAAATAAATTGATGAACATATAAAAGATGGATACAGAGATAGTAGGAACTGCCAATGCTGGAGAATCTGAGATAACAAGGTGTAGAGCTGGATGAACACAGCAGGCCAAGCAGCATCAGAGGAGCAGGAAAGCTGACGTTTCGGGTCAGGGGAGGGGAGATTTTGAAGCTTGTGAAGTCCACATTGATACCATTGGGCTGCAGGGTTAGGGTTTTGCATCTCATATTTCGCTTGGGAACCCTGCAGCCCAATGGTATCAATGTGGACTTCACAAGCTTCAAAATCTCCCCTCCCCAACCACATCCCAAAACCAGCCCAGCTTGTCCCCGCCTCCCTAACCTGTCCTTCCTCCCACCTATCCCCTCCTCCCACCTCAAGCCCCACCTCCATCTCCTACATACCAGCCTCATCCTGCCTCCTTGACCTGTCCATCCGCCCTGGACCGACCTATCCCCTCCCTAACTCCCCACCTACACTCACCTTTACTGGCTCCATCTCCGCCTCTTTGACCTGTCTGTCTTCTCTCCACCTATCTTCTCCTTTATCCATCTTCTATCCGCCTCTCCCTTTCTCCCTATTTATTTCAGAATCCCCTTCCCCTCCCCCATTTCTGAAGAAGGGTCTAGACCCAAAACGTCAGCTTTCCTGCTTCTCTGATGCTGCTTGACCTGCTGTGTTCATCCAGCTCTACACCTTGTTGTATAAAAGATGGACTTTTGTTCAGCTTGCTTTTATTCAGCTTGCTCCCAAGGTTGATTTTTCTTTTCATGCAAATTCAGAGGCAGCATTGAGATTCTTAAAGAAAAAGTCAGCAGCAATAAATTAAATTTGGGATTAAAGATCGCTGAACTCAGAAATGAAATGTCTGGAACCAGTTGGCAGTGAACTGAAAGATAAAAGGAGACAAAGTACAAATTCCCCTCCCAGAAAAACAAAACCCAATTGATCCATACAGGCCCAGGTTCAGACAATATCTTAATCCGACCTTTCTCCTTTTTAGAATCAGAGATCAGTAAAATTTGGTAAACACGAAGGAAGCAGGAAATGAAATGAGAGAAGAAATTGGGGAAAGGTTTCTGTTTGTCAGAAATGAAAGGAAAGGGAACACCTTGCTGAATGTGTTTCTGGCATTTGGAGAAAGCTTACTGAGGGAAACATAAAAATCATTGGAAATTCTCAGCCCATCAGGCAGCGTGTGCTGAGGGAAGGAGTTCATGTTTCAGGTTAATGACTTTTCATCAGTTCTGGTGGTAGGTTGTCCCAATCTGAAATGTTAACGCTGTTTCTTTGCGCCAAAGCTGCCAGACCTATTAAACATTTCCATTGTTTTCTGTTTGTGTTCCTGATTTATGACATCTACAGTAGTTTACTTTTTGAGGGAAACAAAGCAGGTCAGAAAACAGTCACTTCCTGTAGCCAGGGAATGACCACTTGGCATTGCAACTGACTTCTGGATCAAATATGTAACAACTTTCTTTTACAACTGACGATCTATATCTGTAAAACGTTCTTGTGGACCCCAGGTGTCTGATGTAATTCGCTGGCTGTTAGAATGTTTGCAATGGGTATATTGCCAGTTTCCTAACTGGACCATAGGGCTGCTGTCTCATTAGGTTTAACCTTGTCCATGCTCGAGACTTATGTTTTCACTAGAGCCTTGTCAACTATTCCCTAGAAAACTCATATCTCCTTTCTCCACAATGCCATCAAATGTGATGGAGGTGCAAGACCAATGGAACGGAATTCTTATGACCAGATTCTCCTCAGTACCATCCCTCTGGATGCCGGGATGATGTAGTTGTATGAGCTATCTGAAGTTGTGGAAATGACACTGAACCTTAATGCCTTGATGCCCCTTTGAGATTTGTTCTTATTTTTTGTAATTCATTCATGGGCAGAGGACAATTAAGAGTTAACCACGTTGCTGTGGGTCTGGAGTCACATGTAGGCCAGACCAGGTAAGGATGGCAGTTTCCTTCCTTAAAGGACATTAGTAAACCAGCTGGGTTTTTCCCAACAATCAACAATGGATTCATGGTTATCCAGATGTTTTATTGAATTCAAATTACACCATCTGCCGTGGCGGAATTCGAACGCTGGTCCCCAGGACATAAACTGCACTTCTGGATTAACAGTCCAGTGATAGTACTACCAGGCCATCACCTCCCCATGGTGCCCTCACTGTGGTGCAGTGAATAATCTGTTAATTGGGTAACCTTCCCTGACCCCATATCCTGTAGCGGTTGTCAGTCACGTTCCTGTATTGCGTCCATCCTGCCCACTGTCAGTCTGACTACCATGTTGCAATTGGAAGATGAGGCTGGCATCGGAGAAGTCAGTGGCACCTTTAATCACTTGTTGCTCACTGTACTCAGGCGTATTCCAAAAATTCAGGCCTTGGCCTCCAGTGAAACACTGAAATGACTGTGGCTGCAATGTGTGAGGTTGTTCTTCCTGTGTCAGTATCAATGCACTAATATACTGAGGCACATAATAAATGTAAAATAAACCATTTCCCTTCAAACTATAAAAAGCTGGACATCTGTTTTCTGGGCTCCTCAGCAATAGGTCAGGCTTCAGGAACCATCTGGGCAATAGCTGAGAATCCACTGTATTAACCAGGCAGCTGTCAGCCAGTACGAGACAGCAGTGGCACAGGCTATAGGTCACAGCTCACAATGCCGGGCTCGGAATTCTTGCTGTAAACTTGAAGTCTAACCGATGACTGAGAGATAGTAGGAACTGCAGATGCTGGAGAATCTGAGATAACAAGGTGTAGAGCTGGATG